CATTAGTAAACTGAGTCATTTTTCTTTAAAAAATGTGGAACAAAATGTGTTTGCTTATGGCCAGTTTAGGTACCATCCAAAATAAAGTAAGATAAGTCATGCTTGCAGGCTACAAGTTAATTATATATGAATGCCTATAATTTTATATATTATATGCACACAAAATAAGCATAACTGAATCTTCAAGAGAAGAAAGAAGCTGCCAGACTTTCTTTCAATTTGGGTTATAATGCCAAAATGCTGCTGTTTTGTTGGTATTTTCGCATCGCATGATCTTTAGTCATCAGGAGTCATATAATTAAAATCATGATTCTATGGAACAATTCAGCTATGGTTTCTGCTGAGGACACTGGCTGTCACATGTGGAAGAGAAAGGGCCCTTCGCTGAGCTGGTTGTTTCATTGTTTGCCTATGGTGCACAGCAAGGCTTTGACTCTGTTCTGGTTGAACATAATTATACATAATTTGCAGTAGTATAGAATATGGAGGCAACATAGAAAAATTTAATCTGGCAAGTGGATCTTGGAAGGGAGTGGAGTTTGGTTTCCTTGGCAACAGGAAGAAGTTTATTTTCCTCCAAAATCCTCCCTTTTATAAACTCTTTTGTATCTTTATAAAAAAGATTTGGGGGGGGGGGGAAGCATTTCTCGTGAGAAAGGGTTACATGAAAAATCAATCTCCTTTCTGATTTTTAATGATTACAGAGTTATAAATGTACAGTATAAGACCACTCTTGCTGTGCATTCTAACTGAAAACCTATATCCAAAGAATGGATTTGGTGACTTGAGTAAAGGTATAGCCTCATTTCTCAACTTTTGTTGCTTTTCTATGGCTACAGTATTTGGCTTTCTACATTCTGCATTTCCAGGGTGTTCTCTGTCCTTATCTTATTCTCTAAAAATATATTTGTCCTTTGAGCTGCTAGGAACTTTTAGTCCAAACAATATCATCACAACCATCATTCAACATTTCCTTCCCTCACAAATCTGGACTGAAAACATTCTAAAAGTTTTGTTGCAGTTGACATAAATACAGTATTCTACTCTGTGTGAAAGCTGAATTTCTCCTTAGCTATAAATAGGATTGAAAATACCCACAAGTCAATATCTAGATTCTAGAAGATTCCATCCATTGACAAGGCAGTAACTTTGAAAAAGAGCTACACTAAGTTTCTAGAAGAGGTGAAACAATTAAAGATAGGCCCAGTTCAAATCCTGTTTGTGGAGATCTTCAGGTAGAACAATCTCAGTCTATGTATTTACTGAAGCAGTTACCTTTCACAGAAAAATGTGATGAGCAGATGAACAAGTGAACAGCCAGCAGCAGCATCTATCTACTCTTCAATTCTGTCATGTGTTTCTTTGCCGAATATGGTTGGTCATATAACCAGACGATAATATTGAAGACAATAATATTTTTTGTGGGATTCTTGGGAACTGTTTCTCCTTGCAGAATGTGTTTTTTGGCTGGTGCTCATAAATGCCTATCTGTAATGCTTTGTTGCTTTGTTGATTGCTATAAATCATGCTACATGCTACTACATCAAATTCCAGTGTATGATATAAAAGAAAAACACACACAAGAAAAAGATGAAAAATTTCAGTGTATAGTTGGTGGAAGCAAGGATGATTTGATAACTTACAGTACTGCAGAGAGATATCACAAAATTAATGCAAATTAATTTTAGCTATGTTTCTTTTTCTTTTTATAATTTAATGTCTTTAGTTCATCTGGCTTACTCTTTCTTATTCCTTTTCTGCATTCTACATAATGTAGCTTACCCCAAAAGAGAACAGAGTGATGCATATTTAATATATGTACGAGCTACCTCATTTATGGCAAAATCACACAACATACATAATTGCGTGGATCTGCTTCTCCAAGGAAGTTCAAAATCAGTTTCGATTTTAAAACAGTCTTTCCTTAATCAAATAACAGTTTAAAGTATAACCTTAAGTCTGTAGAGATTCTCAGTCATCCAGGTCATGGTTGTCTCAAAGATTGTCCCAATTTGGAATAAATACCCTTTGAATGGTGTGGGATTATGAACAGATTTCCAGGGGAACTGCAGATTACAGGAGCCAGGATCACTACTCAAGTGACCCTAAGGACACAGATAAACCTCCAAGTGCTTCAACAACCCTCAAAAAAGATGCAAATGACCAGCTGTCTGCAAGGAATATATATCCTTCCATTCCCCCCATTCAGTCAGAGCTGAAGCAGCTTATTGGATGAGAAGTAAAACGTCTTCAAAGAAAAAACAAGAAAGTACAGTTGCCTCCTGAAAAAAACACCTGTGGGACAAAGTATAGCCATATTTTTATTATTCTATTAAAAAAATGGTTTCTGCCTTAAAAACCTGGCATGTCAGTGCAGAATCTAGGCTGAAATTCTACGTCCTACATTGGGCAAACATTCAGGAGCCTCACAAGTTTCGTCTGATAGATTGTTACCTTTAATAGAAATGATGGGGTAAGGAAGAATTTTTCAACAGAATGAATTAAGAGTTAAGCTACTTGAGAAAACTTTGTACACAACTACACATGGTCAGAATACAGCAAAGCAGAGATATTCGGCGGGTTCTGACCAGTTCTGGAGAACCAGTAGTAGAAATTTTGAGTAGTTCGGAGAACTGGCAAATACCACCTCTGACTGGAGATTTTACAGTATCCTTCTCCTGCCATGCCCAACAAGCCACGCCCACAGAACCAGAAGTAAAAACATTTGAATCCCACCATTGCAGCAAAGCCCTGTTTCTAATAGATTGCATTAACGTGGGGATTAAATACAGGAAACACTTGGGCTTCATATCAGCACAGCTTGCATTCATTAGTCCTAATCTCCAGCCTAGACTAATTCTAAGTAGGTCTACTACAACTGATGCTTTTCACTCTAGCTGAGCACCATTCACCTGCTTAGTTACTGATTCATCCCACAGAAATAGCAGTGCACCATAGGCTGGTTTGGATGAGATTCTGGTTGATTTGTCAGGGTAACAAGAGATGAGGTTTGATATTACTCTTTGATGTGGATGTTGCAACTCCACCCCCCACCCCACCCCCATTTCCCATTATGTTCATTCTCCTAATCTGAGGATGACTCTTCACAGAGGAATCCTTAGCCTCAAAGTAGACACAATATACAGTAATCCAATGTCTAACCTATTTCTTAGGAAATTTGTGGAAATGGTTGTAGAAAAGTTTGTGCAGTGCCCTCTAGAGGATGCAGATGACTTAAGAGCCATTTCAGAAAGAGGCCAGGATTTGATGGATACTTCTTTGCTGTGCTGCTAGATGACTGAAATAAGATTTGGATAGGGGAAACATGCTGCCCAAGTTCTCTTTGAACTCTCAGTGGTATTCAGTGCCATTAACAATGTATCTTCTGGGTCATCTCAAAAGATTGAGGACATGAGTTTGCTATGTTTTAGCTTCTTCCAATTGATGATGTGGAAGGAGAAATCTACCCAACAGCTTCTTATAAAAGTACCTGGTAGGTACCATAAGATCAGCAAACCAGAAGCGCTTCAGTACTCCCAACATGACTGTAGTAGTAACACATCTTGCATACCTAGTTATGCCACTATTAATCATTTTAGAAGCTTTTCACTCAAGACAAGTAATTATTTCTTTATCTTCCAATTAGTTCCTTTTAATAGACTCTTTCGCACTTCCCATTATACTACTTGAGAACTATTTTCTCTGTTTTCACAGCATTTCCATGTTAGCCACATAGCCCTGTGCAGACCTACAAAACTTTTTCTCCTGCCATATTGACATGAAAACGCATACAAAAAAATTTGGGGTGTCACTTAGAAAATCTGCACATTGTCAAAATTTCCATCTGTCAATCATAAAAGTCACAGTGTTTGGATCTGCACATATACTACACTGATGTATTAGAGCATTCTAGGTTCTGGAAAGAACTCAGTACATATGAAGGCCTAACCACTTAAAGAACTGGCAGCTGTGGTTTTATATTTTTGTGTATATTATAATATTATGGAAAGAACAATAGGTGGATAAAAATGCCAAATGCAGATGGATAAAAATGCCAAATCCAGTCTAAACACCTGACTGTGCAACTAATCATAAAATAAAAAACAAATCCTAAAATAATTTTAACATAATGTACCAAAAAAAGGATATTGTACTCTCAAAGTTCCCTTTAGAAAGAGAGGAAATCTGCATCACCAACCTAGAAATCCACAAAATGTTTTGTACTTATTGTACTTACCCTTTCCATGGCATTAAACATCGTCCTTTAAAAGTGGAAAGTGCTCCGTAAGATTAAAAAAAACTAATTGTACTATCTGTATCTCTCCAATGTCGTGTTCAACCAGTAATCCTGTTTCTGTAGGAGCTGTCTATAATATTAGTGGAATTTTTTTTAGCTGAACAAGGAAACAGGCCTTTTTGGCCACTGCCAGAATTGGACAGATACTTAATGACAAAGTCTACTTAATTCTTACGTATCTTGACCCTTTTCCGTGGAAGCCGTGATGCCTTTGCTTAAATTCCTGACTCCCGCACAAATCTGCCCCCCACTCTTTTTTATCTGTCTGGTTTGTACTATTTTTGTCTAAAAATGCAACAGCGCTGGGGATATTTAAACAACTTTAATAAAATACAACATTATCAATAAAATCATCTTCATGTAACAAAATATTTATTTTTATATTCTCTTCTGCTTTTCATTAACGTAGGTTTCCAGTGCCCCTCCCTCCATGAGACATGAATTCACAGAACACATTTTCTCATTACGGCTCTGTATCCTGGCAGACAACTTTAAAATTTTGTTCCTCCACTCATATAGTTGAAGTGAACAGCAAACAGGGATAAAGGGACTAATTCAGAATAAGGCTGGAAAGTATAGCTTTAATCAGATGGTACTGAAAATATTAAAGTTGAGGGTTCAAAATTAACTGTATTAGAATAGTTTTAACCTAAGGATTTATGTCATTTTGAATAATCTTACCAATGCACTTTTATTTTAAATGTTAAGTATTATCCCACAAAATACCAAGATTGGGGCCACAGATCTGGAGGCAATGTCCATACATTTGTTTTTCCATAAAAGCAACATTGCTTAATGCTTACATTATGTTTCACACATAAAATATTTCCAGGAACTTCTGAAATGCTTGCCCATGAACCCAAGAGCTGCAAGAAATAATATGTTGTGTAAAACATCCACACTCGCCATTAAAAGCTAACATAGCATTATCTCTGGACTTTTAGTTAACTGGGAGGGATGCCCTTGACAAAAGCTTTATCACCTTCCTTTTCCATTCTAAATGATCTCGAATCATATGCCCAAACGGTGTCAATGCCTTCGCCAAAGCTATGATTTGGTCTCCAATGGGGAAAAGGAAAGCGACAAGCTATGACTGTGGCATCCTGCAGGAGTTCATCTCCAAGCTTCTTCTCCAGCTGCAGCATCTGTGAAGAAACATCAGAAATGTTCATCAGAAATGTTCAGAAATGTGGAAGAGATGCTTGATACACAGTCTGAAAAATATGCATATAAGGGAGTATTCGGGGATATACATTCAAGCGGCGACTTGCATAAATGTAAAATGGTTGGCTATGAAGAGATTATAGTAAATGGGTGCAAGAATTAAAAATAATTGGTCTCTTGAATGTAAAAAATGGATGCTGGCTACACAGGACAGGACAGGACAGGACAGGAAAGCAAAATGCCGATTGCACCAAATGAGCAGGAAAAAAAAATTACATGTGTTGCTTGCGATAAATGGTTAGGAATACAAAATGAAGAATGAAGCAGATACATTATTCTTTTTTAGGGTTCCTTATATCCATAATGGGAAGCTCAAGCTACTTTCATTAAGACTGCAGTTGATTATCTCAAACACTATAATTTTTTTTCAAAGATAACTTCGCAGATCTGAATGTGAATATGGACACAGTAAGTCCATTATAGGGTCTGATTCCATTCTCTAACTTTGTGAGAAGGTACAAAGATAAAAAAATGAAAAGAAATCAAGCTCCAAGACACCATTTGAAGGTAGTTTGAAGGTAATCAAGATAGTTAGAAAAGGAAGGAATATAAAGTTGATTTATTTAATCAGAATTAAAATACTTATGTTATCATCTCTGATAACCCCTAATGGATTTTTGCTGTCATCAGCCCTAAAATATGATTTTATGGATTTTTTAAAATAAATATCAGATATAGGAAGAAGAGATTATTTGTTGTTTAAGAGGTGATAAATTACTAAAATTATTTATAGTTGAGGTGAAGGGAAAAGTTGTTCTTTATATATTTCTTTTTTTCTTTATTATATTCTTATTTTTTCTTTTTTGGCACTTTCTATTTTTTATTTCTTTCATTTTTATTAGTTTTTACCGTTGTGAATTGTAATTTTTAATAAAATTACTACATATAAGAAAGATTCTACTATCCAGTATTAAGATGAACAAAGTTTTATATCAAATGCATTAATAAAAACCTCAAAGATTCTACAATTTCACAATTAGACCTTCTATTGGAATATTATAATGGAAACTTACCATCTGAGGAACTCCAAAAATAACAATGTTTGTATACTGTGAAAAACTGACCTGTTTGGAAATAAAATGTCAAATTTAAAAATTAACTCTATATAAATGCACTTTTCATTCATGAACATGCATGTGCAGGGAAGCCAATCAGATTTTAAAAAACTGGTGGCTAGATCAAACGGGTTCAAACCTTCTCCCCTTGGCACTTGTATCAGGACAAAATCCTTTATTTGTACCAAACAAATCTTTCCTTCATATACTGATGATAGGTAGAGTCCCCCGGTAAGCGATACAGAGGCTCTAGTGTGGGGAGGGCAATGATAAAGGAACAAATCCTTCTACCTTATTTATTGGAGCAAATTACTGGAACCAATTAAATAAATAATACATCTAAGGTGACCTTAAGATAAAATTTAAAAGCATGGGAAAAGAGAAATGGAACTGCCATTTTGCTACTGGTTTGTATAGCAGCTGTTTAAAAATATAGCCCAGCAATTCCACTGAGTTACTCCACAGAAATATTAATGGGCATAAGAAGCATTTTAAACCTGTTAAAAGCCACAGTAAGGTATTTATATTCTCTAGACAACTGATGATTTGCATCCTGGGTTATTTGTTACATTTGCATACCTTCCACAAGTCTGAAATGTAAAAATTGACATCTTGATGAACTCCCTCTCTCCAGGCACGGTACCTCGAATACCATACTAACCAAGGATTTAATTCATAACCCACAGCTTTAAATCCAACTTTTGCAGCTGCAATTACCTAGTAAAGATAAACAAGTGTTTAATTTAAAAAAAAACCTGTTTTCTTATTATAAAATATTTGTGTGTGTGTGTGTGCGTGTGTGTGTATACATATATATGACAGCCAAATTAATGGGCTTAGCAATTTGCCCTAAAATATTTCGCCAGATTCTTCATCACAAATATATGAGATTTATTGCACTTTGTAGTCTTCCTGCAATATTAATAAATCTGTATAAATTATTAGTCTTCAAAAATTATTAGTCTGCTGAGAACCTACTGACTGTAATGGTTGGGGGTGGGACGGGACATGGAAATCAAGATTTACAAGCTTCTGGTTAAATTTTAAAAAAGTCTTGTAACTCCTCTGCTAACCAGCCTACTGAATTTTCACAGTACTGCAGTCATGAAGGAAGAGATTTGCCTTATGGCTTACAAAGAAAATTGAGCAGGCTTGTAGAAAATGATTTACTGTAAATAACTCATTCCCTCTCTGCCATTCTACCCACTTGTCTGCACGAAACTCCTCTTCGTCTCATGTATGGAATATTTCTGCATTAAACAAAACAAAAAGTCAAACCCACATGGTTTAAGAGGACTGCCAGGTCATAACCCAGAGCAGCTGTTTAAGCCTGTAATAGCACAAGAAGACTAGAAAAGTAACAGCTCCAATAGGCTTCTTTTGATCCCATCTATTCCTTTTTAAGGCCAAATCCTGAGATGAGGTAGATCTCCTGTCTTACTCCCATTTTTCCCTTTCCATATTTTATTTTAAGATTATAATGCACACGGAATTCCAGATAACAAGTACACGATGAACTAGGAAACATGTGGAAGGAAAGGGAGGCCAAAAGTATGCATCCCAGAAGGACAAAGTCACAACCACTAGACCTTATATCCAGGAGTTTATCTATTTTATAAATGAGAGGTATAGTACTTTTCTTTCATGCCTTAAGAGCTCCAGAACAATTGTTAACATTACCAGCTAAAAGCTTTTCAAAAGCTACTCTAAGAAAGACTTTCTGAATAATAAGCTGGACGTTTGTATCACTAGCAGGTTGATTCATTAAGTTATGTGTGTGATTTTAAATTCTATCCTTGGCCTGAGAAAGATACAATAATGTATTTAAGGCAGGGCTGTGTGTCAACATGCACTTCACTGAAGACTATTTTATTAAACAAGATTTGATTTACACTTACAATACGTCCATCACCACTTCCTATGTCAACTAGCATTCCTTTTCTGCCTTTCAACATGATTAGGACATTTTCAATCTGCTTTGAAGTTGCAGGCACAAATGGCAGGCAATGTTTTCTCAGTGCTGGAGCAATAAATGGAATGGCTATAGAGTATAAGGCCACCAATGTCCCACCAATTATACCAGGGAGCAAAACACCCCAATTCCTTTTGTTAGCATCTTCATCAGCAATGGTCAAAAGTGTAACTTCTTGAGATGCACTGCCTTCAGCAAGTATTTTTGACATAACAAACACAAAACCTAGAAAAGGAAAAGTAGTATGTTTAGCCTGACAAGATATAGATGGTTTTATACATTTATAGCCCTGATTTAAACAAGAAAGCTTTTACTTGGGTTTTCATTACTTGGTATCTAACAGCATCCAGGCACATATTTTTGGTCACAAAGCAATATATTTCACCATTTTGTCCCTTAACTAATGATTTTGAGAGGCAAATGAACATTTACTGTACCTATCAGGGCCAATCGAAAAATCTACCACTGAATATAATCCCTCTGTAAAACCACAGATAATTTACACATATCTAACACACCTTTCTCCTTCTATTTTCCCCACAACAACTCTGTTGGGGGAGTTAGGCTGAGGGAGAGTGACCAGCAGTCCCCCAGCTGGTTTTCATGGCTAAGGCAGAACTTGAACTCACAGTCTCCTGCTTCTACCCTGGTGCCTTAGCCACCAAATTGGCTCTAAATAAATAAAAAGTTTTACTTTGGTTGAATAATAGACATATCGTTTTTGACAATGTAATGGAACAGTTTGGCCATTACCAATGTGTGTAATAGCCATATCCTTGTGTGTAGTATGTATGCATGTATTTATTTCATGTATATAACACCCATCTCTTCATTCTGGGCAGGCTACAAACATTAAAACTAATACACATTAAAATAATAAAAACAATAATAGTTGGTTAAAGAACAAAAGCTAAAGCAAGTTATCTTATTTTAACAGCTTCCTCCGGATTAGAGGCAGCAACGATAGATTGGTGCATGATTTTTTTTAATATCTTATAAATGATTTGTGGTTTTAATTAAATGTTGCAATATTTAATATTTTATGTACTCGATTATAGTGGTGATGGGACGCCATTGGAAGAGCTGAGGGATCTGGTTAGGGACAGATCATCATGAAAAAAAGTATATCACTAGGAATCGACAACGACTTGATAGCACATGATCACTTCCATCAGAGTAAGCAAAAAAATGCCCAAGGTACACTACTTCTCATTGTCTTACGGAACGTATATGGTAGTATCCTTATGGGAGGGGGATACAATAGTGCGGGAGGAAAAAATGAGGAAGCGCAAATTATTAATCGGCAATTCTAACTATTTGGACAGAGAAGCAAGCAAACAAGAACCGTGAAATTGCTCCCTACCTGGAGAACTCCCTTTCGCTCTTGGCCACACCCTTTCCGAACAAAGTGACGGCGCAGGACCGCCCCCACCCCCCACCCCGAAGCCTGCGCCTACATAGCGGAAACGGTTCTTCCTGCTCAAGTGGATCGTGCCATTATTTTCAATAGGGGCACTCGTGTTTTTCGAAAGAATAGCCCTTTTTCTGATCCGCGTTGAAAATAAAGCACACCGAAAACTGTTAAAGCTTTCTCTGATGTCATCATCATCACAGGAAAAACCCAAGGAAGCTGTGCTTTTAAAATTATGTTATCCTTGGTACATTCCATTGTAATACACGGGTAAAATCTGAATCGCTAGCACGTGGAGAGAAAAGTGGACGTATCGTGAAGTTGTGGCTCGGTCGTACTGCACGAATGTATGATTTGCTTATTTGAGATTGAGTGCATTATATGAACCCAGATAATAAACACGCAAAAAATCAATTTTGTAACAAGCCCAAGTGCCAGGATAATATTCGACGGCAGAAAACATATTTCATGAAGTTGAAGCCTAATTTATTTTAGAATCTTGCGTGATGTCCCTTTCCCAGGGTAAAAATAAAATGTTGGTAAGCTAATAAGAAATTATGATTTTGTATGTGCTTGGCAACTTTTCCCCTTTCCCTGAAAAAAATGTAACCAAAAGCAACTGTTTTAATAAAGCACATTTTGAATTTAAAATACTGTTCAGTTTCTCAACATCAAAATTAATGTTAGTGCAGTTTTTAAAATGTTTTTCTGATAGCAAAAAACGATGTGACTGAAAACATTTGCCTCAGTTTTATGTTATAACCCATCATCTGTGATGGAGCTTGAATTGCATTACATTGCAATAAACATCCATTTTACCCAAACTGCACAAAATAAATCCCTCTGAGCGCCTTTAATTTCTATACAAGTTGTACTGTTCAAAACTCAGCTAATTATAGATGTGAAAAAGTTGGTAAGCTAAACATATACTGCAGTCTCATAGGTAAATTCTAAAAATCTGAATGTGTCTTGAGTTTTTTTCTATGATCAGTTTTGATAGAATATGAACAATATTTTTCAAATTTATAATTTTGTTTCAGTCTCTGGATTTTAATATCACTCTATATGATTTAGACGAGCACAACAACTTGAGGAAGGCAAACTACGGTATAGTGAGAAAGATCATACAGTAATCTATATAATCTATATGTTGATGAAATTATCCAGATTCTGCATCAGTATACTATTCAATTTGGCTTGGTGAGCTGTCTGAACCCATGCGGTCTGCATTCATGCATATCCATACACTACTGGGCACGCATAGCGTTTTGCTGAAAAATTTCTCACAGAATAGAATAGAATAGAATTCTTTATTGGCCAAGTGTGATTGGATACACAAGGAATTTGTCTTGGTGCAGATACTTTCAGTATGCATAAAAGAAAAGATACATTCGTAAAGAATCACAAGGTACAACACTTAATGATAGTCATAGGGTACAATAAGCAATAAACTCATACTAGGAAACAGTCAATATAAATTGTAAGGATACAAGCAACAAAATTACAGTCATACAGTCACAAGTAGGAGGGGATGGATGATAAGGAGTAATGAGAAGATTAACAGTAATAGTAGTGCAGACTTTGTAATAGTTGAACAGTGTTAATGGAATTATTTCTTTAATAGTGATGGCTTTGGGGAAAAATTGTTCTTGTGTCTACTTGTTCTGGTGTGCAGTGCTCTATAGCAGGGGTTGCCTACCTTTTGGACCTCGGGGACCACTAAACTCATAATTTTAAATCCCATGGACCACTAATATGAATTTTGACTGACAATGGCTTGCTGACGTTTTCCCAGGGTCTCTGCAGAAAGCAGTAGAGATCCTGGGAACATCCAAAAAAAAGTCTGCAGGAAAATTTCCCACCCGGTTTTTCGATTGATCATTCTTTATTTGGGATTGCTGGATACTGTCTCCTGCTCTGTTCTCAGGGGGAGGAAGAGAGAGACTGACTTTTGGCTTCATGCAAGGAACTCTGCCAGAAATGAGTCTTTGCCTGCACAGCCTCTTGGAGCAGGATGCCTTGCAGGGTCCCAAAGACTCATTTGGCTAGGTGAGGTGTGTGGGGCGAGTGGGGCAAGTTCCCCCACTCCACCCTTTTCCCCTTCGGTCACTACCTCATGTTGTTTGCAATGCAAGCAACGCAAGCCTTGTGTTCCCGCACAACCTGGATTAATTGCTTTGGGGGGGTGACATTTTGCTGTGGACCACCAAAACTTTCTTGCGGACCACCAGTGGTCCTCGGCCCACTGGTTGACTGCTCTATTGAGGGAAGGAGTTGAAACAGTTTATGTCTGATATGTGAGGAGACTGTAAATATTTTCACAGCCCTCTTTTTGACTCATGCAGTATACAGGTCCTCTATGGAAGGGGGGTTGGTAGTAATCGTTTTTTCTGCAGTCCTAATTACTCTCTGAAGTCCGTGTCTGTCCTGTTGGGTTACAGAACCAAACCAGACAGTTATAGAGGTGCAGATGATAGACTTAATTCCTGTGTACAACTGTATCTGTAGAACAGGCTTGAACTGTGAAGGCAATTGTCACACATTAGCATCTGTAGATCCACGACTGAGGTCTTAATTCAGTGTTTTTGTACTTTTAGATGTGTGGACTTTAGAAGCTGGGAAATTCTGGTAATTGAAGTCCGCTCATCCAAAAGTTGCTGAAGCTGAGAAACACTGTCTCAGTGGGAGATGTAAATGAACCCATTATAGTTCGTTAAAGTCAGAGGTCTCCAAACTTGGCATCTTTTAAGACTTGTGGACTTTAACTTCCAGAACAAGTTTTAAAGTTGCCAAGTTTGGGGACCCCTGGTTAAAGTGACCTTTGCAACGAATGAACGCGGCGTCTGCAGGTTTCCTAGCTCTACGGTCCGAAAGAGAGGCGATACCTTTTAATGCGCTTGCGCACTCGCATATACCCCGCCCCACCCAGAGGCTTCTAGAATGTAGTGGGTCCGCACTCTAGAAGCAAAGTGCGCACGCGCCTCTTTTGACCGCGAGGAGATCCCGCGAGAAGGGAACGGCTTGCGTCAGGCGGGGCGGGTCAGCGTGCTTCTCTTTCTTTCCGTGCCGTTAATTGTGGCCTCGTGCGCCTTCCTTCGGGAGGTTCGACCACCGTCATGTCGGCCATGGGGACTTTAGCTTTTGACGAATACGGGCGGCCGTTCCTCATCCTCAAGGACCAGGACCGGAAGACCCGCTCTACGGGCTTGGAGGCCCTCAAGGTAACCATCGCGGCGGGGAATGGATCGGGCAACGGTCCTCTGCCTTCTACGGGCCCCGCCGGCGTATTGCTCCTGAAAAAGGGGCGTTCAGGTGCAGAGGTGTGGAGTTGAGGCCCCCGGGCAGGGCTCTCCCCCCACCCCCGCTCTCAGTTTAAGCTTGCCTCAAACTTTGTGTCAGTAAAGCAAACCCCTTATTCCCTCCCGGCACCCGCTATTTGAGGCCTGGGGAGGGAGGGGGCGGTGGAATTTCGGTTGGAACAAGGGAAAAGGGGCAGCAAGGGTATTTGACCACGTGCAGCGGGATTTTTGATAATTATTAGCCGGGGTGTGTTTCAATTTGTTCCCATCGGTTTCCTTCAAAAGGCAGGTAACTGGTTGCTTAGGGCAACCTGGCAGCCTAGAAAGTCCGGTGCTGGGGCGGAGACGCGTCTTTGCAGGTTAGCCTCCCTGCCTTGGGGATCCGCTGGGAGCTGATCGGCTCCTCTTTGCTGAGCAGCCCCCCCCCCCCGCCCCCAAATTCTGCAGCCCAACTGACTCGATGTCAAATTTCAACAAACTGCACGATCCCATATGTCAAAACCTATATCCATCCTTCTCGGCACCGTGCACGTTGAGGAAAGAGATTGGGCGCCCCGCCCCCCTTTTTTTTGGCTGCCTGACATTTGGGGGAGGGGAAAAATTGAATTCTTTAGTGTCATTGTACTTACATACACAGTATATGTACAACGAAATATACATACAAAAAAAGATGGGGGGAACCAATTCCTTTCTTGAAGTTGCTCTTACACAATTAAAAAACCCTCATCATTGGCATCATCAGTGTAGCAGGATCGGGATTAGCAGTGAGAAACGTAATTTTTTGTTACGATAATATATATAAGAATGGGTGTCTGACGTGATAAGGCACTTTAAAAAGGATTGTCATAGATTATCCTAAGTACCTCTAGCATCTTTAAATCCATCTTTTTTAAAAAAAATAATCTGCATAAATTAAATGGCCTGTGGAATTTTGCTGGGAAAGTAATTTCTGTATTGTGATGTTTGATGTTTCTAGCTGCATAAAATTCTGTTTTGTTCCCAATAACATTTTTATAGTAACATAAAGAAGATATAGATAGGTAAACACAGTATTCTAGTTGTTAAGATCATTCAGATGAGGTTAACATGTGAGAAGAAAACACTTATCAAAACATTTAAATAGGCACAGTTTTTGCAAGACTGTTGCAAAAGCAGCTGTCTTCAAAACTTCTGGATTCGTTTGTGTATGCGTGCATGTGCAAAATAATGTAGTATTTTTAGCATTTGAAACTGCTGAATCTATATTTGTTTTTTTTTTTTATAGTCTCATATAATGGCAGCCAAGGCAGTAGCCAATACACTTAGAACATCACTTGGCCCCAATGGTAAGCAAAATGATTTAATGCTGTCCACTTTTAAGCCTTTTACATTGTAAGGCTTTTAATCTATATTGCTGTTGTTTAAATGCTTATTATAGGTCTTGATAAGATGATGGTTGACAAAGATGGTGATGTAACAGTAACAAATGATGGGGCTACGATTTTGAATATGATGGATGTAGAACATCAGATTGCTAAACTTATGGTTGAATTGGCAAAATCACAAGATGATGAGATTGGGGATGGAACCACAGGTGTCGTCGGTAAGATTTGTTTTTGTTTTCTTATCAGAATTTTACTTAATTGAATCATTATTTTCTGTGCAATATCTGGCAAATTGGACTTTCATTTTCATAAATGTACTTAACAATCTATTTCTACTGCATATTGAGTAATGCAGTTCATTTATCTTTTGTTTGCTTACAAAAGAATTCTAAATATTTATCAGAACCTGTCA